AGAGACTGCTCTGAAACATTCCTCAAATTGTTGTAGACTCATTACCATCCTAATCAGCCTGGTCTAGATAGTCTCTGATCATCAGTTCTCTCTAAATTAGGACAGCCATGCCTGGAGTCAAGTTGATCTGGTCAGGGAAAAGAAGACTGCTGAAATCCTTCTTTTCCTAATATCCTCTAAATGGTCAGTTTCATTAGTGCCCCCATCACATTGGGTTGTGACCTGGTGACTGTCACTGTGGTGTCAACGTGAAGTCACTCTTACCTATGTTTAAATCACTGACTTTATAACTACTCAGGTAGGATTTTCTATTTAACTTTATCAAATTTGGATCATCCATGGTACATGAAGGAAATTACCTAGAAAAATTGCCCCAAAACATCCACCTAAAACTGTCTTGGCTTTATCTGTTCATCCTGAGGTCTGGAATGGAAGAAGCTCTAGACAGTAACTTGGAGCATTTTGACCCTGATTTAAATACATACATACAAACTATTTTTTAATTCAAACAAAATTAATACGTACAACCTGATTTCTTTCATAATTTAAGTACATTTGTGTTGTAACTATTATTTTTTTCAAATTTTACTTTTTATTGGTACATGTTTACCTTGTCTGCAGAATACTTTGCACAAAGCCTTAATTGTGACCTTTTGGATACATTTAGTAATTTGAAGTACACATTAATACTAAGATGGCTTTAAAATTTTGAAGATGTTTAAAAGGGTAATTTTTCTGGACAGGTGGAAGTCTTTTGATCAAATATAAAAATATGTACAAATATCTATCTAGTACTTGAATGCAGATTGCAATGTAATCGGCAGTAGGTTATAATTGCTGTTTATGATCATGGGAAAAATGAACACAAAAACAAACAAAAAACCCCACAAGATTCCTATTGTCCGTCACCTGCTTTCTACACTTATGCTATACTCTGGGCTAAAAGTACCCCGCTGAGGGCAGCCTGAACTTCCAAAACAATTTCCCCTTCTATCTGTGGATGTCTCAGACATATCAGAACAGCACTAAGCCTCAAAACAATCCGCTGAGATAACTGATTTTCAAGAGAGAAAAGAGGCTCCTCCCTCAGAGCCCATGACTAAGGCTATCTGTGTGGAAACAGGCTCCCGGTTGCTTAGGAATTCATTGGCTCTGGGCTGTTTGTTTCTCATTTTCCTTGAAGCCGTAACTTCTGCCTGCTTGAGATGTCCTCATTCATCTTCAGAGTTGTGGAGTGTCATGTCACATAAAAAGAAGTCATTATTTGAAGGACCTTTTAGAGAGTCTTACGAAGTGAAGAGAGAGCTAGAGGGAGAGCTAAGTCATTTACAGAAAATGAATAGACTAATGTACTTCAACAGGTTTCTCTGGCCATGTTCTAGAAATTCATCAGGCATTTTTTTTAATTTTTCAAAAGTAATAGACACTCATTGCACCAAGGCAAAAAGTTTAGAGATGTACAAAGTTCCATAGTCTTCCTCATTCTCACTCTAAACTGTGCCCCTAAAATAGCCCATTTATAAAACCCAGTGTGTATCATTCCATGTTTTATTATGTTTATGTATGTTTATGCGTGTTTATGTATGCATGCTTATACAAACATATACTGTATACGTAACAAGTCTCAATTTTAAAATACAACCTATCACAATTCTGGAATAGTCTTCATGGTTCTGTAATTTGCTTTTTAATTTAACTTTTATTATCATGGACAGCTTTTTAAGCCAATGTGCATATTCTGCCACATTGTTTTAAAGAGCTGCATAGTATTTCATGGTATGAATGTAAAATAATTGAAATAACCATTCCTCTGTTGATAAGCAATCAATCTTTTACAATTATTTGCTATTACAATGCTACAGTTAACATACTGACATATTTCTCTACATATGTATTATTTCTTTAGTTTTACAGAAAAGATGCCTACAGGAGGGAAATACCAGAATACACATTTTTAATTTTTAAAACATGTTGCTCAATTATTCTCCCAAAAGAGAGGGTCAATAGTGTAGTGTATGTCCATTTCCCGGACCACTTTTGATTGCGGGATGATAACAATTTTTCTAAATGTTGTCAGATTAATGGATAAAAAAAAAATCACATTTTGGTTTTAATCTGCATTTCTATGGGGCCTGTTTAAATATTCAATTCGTTTTGTCATTGACCTTTTATTGTGGTTTTGTGGTTCTGGAAATCAAACCCAGGACCTTAAGCGTGCTAAGCAAGTACTCTATCACTAAACTACATCCCCAGTCCTTTCACTTCTTGTTAAAAGTTACACTTATCCTTTGTCACAAGACAATGAGATATTTTTCTACACTGTTCCTAAAATCCTGAAAGGCAGAAACCTTCCTTGTAAATTATTTGCTTTATGAGTGTTCCACGATAATGCAATGTTAAGTTACTTTGTAGGAGACTTAATATTTTAATTCTGTTACATGAATTAAACTACGAATGCTTTCAGAATTAAACTAGAAGAATTTAACTTCTAGTCACCTGAACTAAGTGTCTATGTTATCAAAAGAGGTTTTCTAACCTAGCTGTCACAGTTAAATTAAGAATCAAGAGAACAAGGGTAATATGTATGATACAATGAATGGGGCTCATCTGAACTGTGGGATGGGAGGAAACATCTGAGGTAGCAATAATTAAAGCAAGATCAGAGTGTCAAAAATAACCAGGCACGTTCTCAGGGAGAAGGGTATGCTTAGGATTAGGAAAAAGAGGATGCTAGGAAGGCATGTTCAAGGAATAAAAAGGCCAATGTCTCTAGAAACCAGTGAGGGTAAGAGTGAACCGAAGGATGTACAATGGGTTGTAAAGACTGAGGAAGAAGATTTGGAGCATGGGGGTAGGAACCAAGAGCACTATTGTACACTTGAAGTTTGAGGCCTACTATCTAAGGGTTGTGAAGATCAGCAACTGGACAGGTGATTCGCTAAGGTCCAGAAAGGAGTTGAAACTGAAGATAAAGATTTGGGGAAAATGAGCATGAAGATGCCATTTGAAGTCCCTGATTAGTGCAGGGATTATCCAGAGAAGTAAAGAAAGTCAGGGTATGTAAATGAAGATAGAACATCACAGTTCCATACTACGTACTCTTCAAACACATAACACTGAACTTTGATTCATGCAAGAGGCAAGACTTTAAAAATTAGACATATCGAAAGTTACAGTAAATATTATTTTAAATGGTTTGTGTGTTCATTTGAAGTAACTCATTTGCTGAGTTAGTGTATAAAATAAGAATTTTATATTACAATGCTAATAACCTCTGAAATAGTTTGGGGAGTTCATTCATTCATGTGTGAGGTAGTAGCATTTTAAGTGAGTCACAGGTAGAGAACTTCAGATGCAAAACATTCTGGCTTCATCAGTGAACACTGAAAACTCATAAAACCTTATTCAATGCACACAAAAAAACTGGGCAATGAAAGAAATTCTTGTGTAAGAGGGTAACTTAGCAAATTTAGGTTACAATTCTCACATCTGTGAGTTGAGCACCTCCTTATATTCTGTACCTTGGGGGGCTTCTTTTGCCTCAGCCTAGGGTATTTCTTCTTTATGCCTAAAATCGTGCTTCATTTCACTTATTCAAAGGACTAAAAAAACAGGAAAATACATACATCGCTTAAAATGCTGACATCCTGAAATACAATTTGAGCTCTGAAGAAACATTTAACATTTACAAAGGCCTAGCCTAATGAAAAAGTAAATAGACTTCGACTCATTTTCATTTCATAGTTTTTCTTACACCGTGTGACTGGTTCTTGAAGAACCACACTGAAAAGTTAAAAGTTAAAAAGCTCAACACTATGCATCATAAAAACTCCCTCTATCCTTAGTTACAAATATCTTTTTCTAGCAGTGACTGAAGAGCAAAACAATTACTTTATAATGATGCTCTAAATATACACACAAAAATTCACCCAAAGATCAGTTTTGTTTTGAGTCTTTAAATAAATGTCAGAGATTTCTGAAGTAAGTAGCTGAAAGTCTTAAACACTTGGTGGCTTGGAATAAAGATCTTACATATTGACACAAGTTGAATCTCTTGATCTATGAGTAAGCACTTCTAGCAAATAATCTATTCCCATGATTGTTTAAATGCTTCAATTATAATAGCAGACATATTATAAACATGGAATTTACAAATCTTAATTAAATCCCACACAATAAGTACATAAGACTTCAAGAATAACAGTTTTCTTAATTGACAATGCAGATTTATTCTGAAAGAAAATAAACTGAAGAAACATAGTGGGAGAAAATAAAGAGTAAAAAGGAGTAGACAGGAAAAATGCAATTTTTTCAGTGACAAAACCAAATGAAGAAACAGTTCTCTTCTAAACATCAGGCCCATTCCTCAGCATCACTAGTTTATTTATATAATTATCTGTTTACAGAAAATTTATTTTTCTCCACCCAAAGGATCTTATTTGAAACATCAGAAAAATGCAATTTAAAAACATATTTTAATTCCAAAGATGCTGTAATTAAAAATTAAAATTTCCACACCAGATAAACTAAATGAACTGTGTTACCTAAAAGGTATAATTTCAAATTCCTATTTGATTTTGCAAGATGGTTATAACATTAGAATGAATGAAAATAGCAAAGTCTGTATTTCTCATAATAATTATAGTAAAACATGAAAAGAGAACTAAGTGCTGCATATTTATTTATTTAAGAGTAGAGGAAACAGCTAGTACTTTTTCAAAGTCAGTTATGTAGTTATCTCATCACTCAATATGGGCTAAATAAATTGAGAAGAAAGACAACAAAGATTAAAGAAATAAACTCGTTAGAAAGTGAAGTAATGATCAAAGTAACAGTATTCATGCAGAATTCGGAGAGAGCATAGAGACCAAAGACAGACAAACACAGGACAGAAAAAGAGAGAGACAGAGAGAAATTAAGATAACTTAAATAAGTAGCACATTTGCATAGAAGACAATGAAGTCATTATTACATTTGCAGTTTCAAAGAGAAAGACTTACCTGAGAGAGGAACACACATGATACACAGAATAAATAAGAATAGAAGAGTGCTTGGCTTCCATTTCCAATGGTAGTTCCACATTCTACCTGAATGAAACGACCTGAAAGGAAAGAAACTCCAATTCAGTATACTTGGTGTTCAGTAAAGCTTGATGACAATAACACAAAAATGTAGGTTCCCAGCAGGGACTGGAAAATAGAGACCTTTGTCTGCCTTTTGTCTCTTGTAGTACTGGAGATGGAGCCCAGAGCCTGCTGCGGGCTAGACAAGTGCTCTACCACTGACTGAGCTACAACTCCAGCTGAGGATGGAGATGGAAAGATGACAACCTAATCACCTCCTTCAAGCTAATTAGCAAAAGCAAAACAAATGCACATGTTCTACTTGCTACCTGATGGCCCCTTCCTTATCAGAATATATTTCATAGGTGGGTTCTTCATGAAGATGGGTTAATACTCAGACAGTTCAACAAGAAACAACCTTTATTTAAAAATAAAGCAATTTCAGCTCCAGCCTCCCAAGAAACACACCCATCTGGGAAGCAGGAGGATATTTGTATCAGTCTCTGATAAGATTTCTCAGAAATGCAGACTTAAAAAAATGTTATCATTTTACAGTGTTTGCTGCTCTACACATGGGAATACTTAAATAAAAATATATTTCTGAAGCTCTTTTACTAAAATGAAGTACTGAAGCATTACCGTTCCAAAAAAATGTTGAAATCTTTATATATAACAATAGATATTGATGTTTTTAAACAGCTACTGAACAAGTAACTGAAACCAGTAAATGACATTGGGGGGGGTACCTTTAAAACTCTCAAATAATCCTTATGCACAAAGACCTGATCTTTAAACAAAAAATTATATTTAATATTTAGAAAGGAATATCCATATTTTCTTGGCTGAAAACAGTATGATATATTCAACTGTCCCAGCACCCTCAAAAGAAGCAAGCCCACGAAGGAAACATCAAGTATAAAAGCCAGTAGCCTAATAGGACCAAAAATGAGTAGCAAGCATACATAGCTAGGTAGCAGTAAGAAATTTCCAGCTCTCATAAAGTTAGCTTGCCTACAATGGTAGTTCAGTCTCTCCATCACTAAAATGAAGGGCAAATAATCACAGTAGTGCCTTCCTTAAAGTCTAAAGTTTGCTCACTTGGATAAATGTGGAATGCTAAATACAAAACCAGAAGATCAGGAAGAGAAATACTAAAAAGAGTAAAGTAGGTATCAAGTGATTCCTGCACTTGCCTCAAGACTGCATTTTGAATCTTTCTTTGACTGAGAGAGACTACCTCATAGTAAAGAGGACAAGCATTGATCAGGCAGAGCTGGGTTTGCTATTTAGGAACTAAGCAACGCTGAGGAAATTTACTTGATCACATTGTGCTTCCTATTGCTCAGCGGTACAATAAGGAGCTGCAATGAACCTAGTCTAGAGAGTTATGAAGATGATCAAATAAGATAATGTCTTCTTAAGAACAACACCTGACACTCAGCAAGTGTTCAATAAATATTAGCTGTTATTATTGTTACTATCACTTCAGACATTCTAGTGTGAGTGTGGTTACTCTGTTCACAGTGAAGTCAAAGGAAAACACTTAAACAAGAATGAACAATGGGCTTAATCTCATATGCCAACACCAACCAATTGACTTTATGCCACTTCTGAGATTACCTGAGAACAAAAATGAAATAAGCCACTCATGTCAGCTATGAATAGAGAGATTCTAAATAGTGTTTGAAATTCACGTTATGCTTTTGTAGTCGCCAGGCTAAAAGTTCCAGCAACAAGAAGCTCTCCTGTTGGAAATTCTAAACTAGGACTAGCTTAAGAAGAGTATTATACTTTTTTGTATGGAAAGTATTTTTTAATACATTCATCCAAAATATTTGAAGCTAAAAGCACCTACTGATTATGAGAAGCAGGTTTTAGTAAATAATAACAACAATGGATGTGGATTCTACACTGGCAGACTTACATACTGGTTCCTCTACTAACTGTGTGGTTTAGGATACAGGTACTTAAACATTAAGTCCTTTTTTTGTATATAGGTTATTGTCCAACAAATACAACGAGAGGTAACAGTTCATGGCATTTAATAGGGGCTTTTTCAAGGGTAGGTGATAAACTCTGTGACACAGAAAGTTCACTTATTTGGAAGAATGGGCCAGTTTCCTATTGAGGCTAGATGAATGAGGTGTTCTTCGTTCATTCTGGAGATGAATGAGCACACTACTAAAACAAAAGAACAATTACATACTCACACAACTTTAGAGATGGACAGAGAAAACGACGTTTAACCTCATTTTAGTAGAGGAAGAAACTGAGGCCCAGTAAAATAAAAAAGGAGACCAATCAAACCTGGCCTCCATCCTTACAGATGTTAAAAGAAGGAAACATCAGCCCAAGTGAACTCCTAGCTTCTTTCTCTCTGAGGCACATGACGATCTTCCTTTATGAATATGTGCTCTTAAGCTTGTATATGTCTAAAAGGAATCACCTTCTTTATGCGGCTGCTCGCCTTTCACCTTGCTCATGCAGCTTCTTTACTATAAAAGGTGCTGACATTTAGGAATTCCATGTCCAATCCTAAAGTTGTTTTACCCAAGCTGCCAGCAGTTTTATCAGGCAATAGCTGCAAATGGTGACCTCAAGGGCTCTAGGCTCCATCATTTCAAAGAGAAAAGGGCCCAGGGCAGTGCAAGCACTTGCAACCACACATAAACTATACAACATGCCAACTTTCATCCACTTTACTGTTTACTGAAGAACAGAAACAAATAAATTAAGAATAGAACAGCGGAAGGAAAGCACTGTGTGTATCTTCTCAGGGGATCACTTAGTAAAGACACATCCCTGAGATTTAAACAACTTTCTCAAAAGAGTGGAAAATCCCAAACGGGGTTACTAAGGTTCTAAGGAGGGACTACTAAAAACACTACAGTGTTGGGCCATTTTGATTGTGGTCTCAAAGTTCTATCGAAGAGAGCAGGAACATTTTTAAAGTAAAAAAGAGTCATAGATTTGGATGATCTGAAACGGCTCTAAAAATTATGCAGTAAAACCCATCATCTCACAGTGAGAAGACTAAGACATTAAACAATTTGCCCAAGATCACATTATGTCACTTTCAACCAAGCTGTCCTTTTTGAAAACCAAGCTGCTAATTGAGAACCAAGCTGCTACCACTAGATGAGTCCTGTTTCAGAAAGCTTTAGAATGTAACCCTTCTGGATTGCTTTAACATGGATATGGGCCCTGGAAGGCATGATTTTATCCAAATGCATGACTAAAATAAGCTAAAAAAAAACCCTACTATCTTCCATCTCTCTACTCCTAGGAGTTTCCTCAAAGTTACAATTGAAAGAGAAACTAAGGGAGACGTTTTGAAATTAGTGGAGAAATTGATATGGTACTAATTGTATTAATATCAGCAACAGTCAGAATTCACTTCTTTGCCCATATCACAAGTGTGTTTCTTTGGCCAATCTTTTCATAAAGGGAGTTGAGGAGTGGCTGAGAAAATACCTTAACTCTTCCAGAGTAAAAGGAGAAGTAATTTGATTTATTTAAATCTGCTCATACTAGTATTTCTCCTTCCAGTTAATAATCATGTTCTTTAGCTTAAGCAATGTATCTAAAAAGAAAAAAAAAGAGAAAAAGAAAATGCAATTCCATCACTCAATTTAAGTCCTTTTATTAAGTTGGGTTTGCCCCCACTTTTAAAGGCTGATTTATTCTTAACACTAAGATTTCACAAATCTTAAACCTTATTTGAACAGAAACATGCACAACTGGTTTATACCACAGGTGAGATTAAAAGTCAACCTTGGGAATTATGTATATGTGTACACACAAATGGATAGATACATCTAAAACTGAGGAAATTGGAAAAAAAGAAAAATCGGTATCAACATTTTGGTTTTTATTTTATACTATCGTTTTACAAAATGTTTCCAGTGGGGGAATTGACAAAGGGTATATAGCATCTTTTATGTATTTTAACAACTCTATTTGAAAATACAAATATCTTAAAATTTCCAATTAAAAACGTAAACACTGAAGTCCTGATTCTACCCCTTACTCTCAGATGATTCAGAAAAATACTTATGTGTGTGGGTGGGGGATGGGTGTAGAAAAAGGGGAATGATTTTTTTATAAATGGGGTCGATATTATAGGTGATTCGGTAGAGGATATACAAGTGCTCTTTGTATTTTTATTCTCTCCATCTTTTTGAAAGTTTAACAGTATTTCTAAATATATTAAACACACAATTTATACTGCAATATGTCAGTGTTTTTATTTAGTGATACTGTCATCATTGTTGAGTAATATTGCTTTAATCGTTATCAGTTTGATAAAAGTAGTGTCTAATTTGGATTTCCTTTATTTGGATTGGCATGTTCTACTGGAACATAACATTTTTCTTACCAATTTGTGATTTTTTTTAACCAATTGTAAACTAAATATGTTACACCTTTGTCACATTTGCTCTGTTTTAATTAAATAAGTAAGTTAACCTTGAAGTTTCTAAGATCTTCCAAATAATTCCATTCTGAGTAATGCTTACAAAGGAAAGTAAAATGATACTCGGGTTGCCACATTCAACTTCTACCAGCATTCAGTTGCGAAGGATAGATTCCTTAAATGTTATTCCAGCCAATTAGTATACATCCTAATGTCTTATTATATAGACAATGTAGTGATGTCCCCAAATTAGAAATGTAATGGAAAGATACAGTTTTTGCCCATGTATACCACCCACGTTGAACAGTCTTCTTCTATTTAGTCTAAATTCTAAATAGTCTCTAGACTACCAGAAATGTAAACTCAGTAAGACATCCAGGCAGTTCTAAAAATGGTCAGGTTTAAAGAAGTGGTTCTCAGTTTATTTTTAATATATAAGTGGAATCTCTCACAAATCATTATTTCCAGAAATTAGAGTGACATTAGGCAGTAAAACTACAGGCTTCTAATATTTCCCATAAGCCAACAGACAATAGTCTCATTCACCATTCACATCAGAAAAGCACAATGTCATGTAATTTATATAAGCTGAAAAGGGAACAGTGGCTTCATGCAGCTGAGACCAGTTAATGCAAGTCTTGCTAACTCTATTAAATTTCTTAGGGCATGAGAAACACATAGTCAGTACAACTCCTAAATATATTTATAAGGTCTAGAATTTCATGACCTGAGCATAAGAATATGTAAATATTCTTCCTCTATAAATAGGCAAAATAGTTTGTGTACTTGAATGTATTAAAATTAAAAAGATAATATAGTTTAGTTCCCCGTGTTAGCAATTTTCAACAAGATGGAAATAGTTACCTTGGAAAGATTGGCATTATTTCCATATATTTTCATATGCCAATATCTAAAATGGATCAGGACAAAGATCTAAAAGGATCTTGAATTATTCCATACGAATTACAAGGAACAAAAAGAAAAAAACAGTTACAATCTAGAAAGACATGGAAAACCTTTCACTCAAAATAGCCCAATAAAGGAACGCAAATCAAGATACTGAACCCTGTATGATCAACTATCCATGCTTTCACTCTATAAAGACATAATTTTCTTAACCACACAGAATTCAAGTGGATTATAAAACTGAATTTCATTCTCAGAACTTTGTTACACTACTCACTGATCAGTCTCATATCCTTCATTTTTAAAACTGATATCCACATTTTAAAAATGTGTAATAAGCTTTTTTCCCATGAGAGCTCAATACCTAGGAAAGCTCAAAAGAAGCTGGATAAATATCTGCAGTTAAAACCCCTCCCTTATTTTTAGGAAAAATTGAAAAAGTTGAAAACAAATTTATTCATTCAATATGTTGTCTATATATGAGAACAAGTCTTCTATTAGACTATTGGCTGCAACCCAAAATAAATTCTTTCAAGTTATACCTTGCTGATTTCACTGGCATAAATGAAACTTTAAAACTCACAGGTGTGGAATAAGTGTAATAAAAATAAATGGTTCAATTCTTATTGCACTTCACACTACCAAGAAGAAAGCTGTGGAATGCTGGCCTTGTGGGCACTTCTTTCTCCCAGGTTAAGGGGGGGGGGGGGCATTGGACAGTGAAAGTAAAGGAAAAAGAGGCCTTAAGGGCAGTCTTTTCCCAAGATACTAAACTAAAAGAGGAAATTCAAGTGGAAACAACTCTTGGGGGCGGGGAGCCCCCCGTATCAATTTCTAAAAACTTGTACATTAAGTAGTGGAAGTGGGTAAAATATGTCAGTGTGTCTGCCCAAGAATAAATAAAACTGCAGAGGGAAAATTATACATTGCAAGAAAAAGCAACTAAGTTGGCCACAAAAATACACTTGGCTCTTCTGAGAACAATCTTCCTTTTTCCATTCTGGAAAGCCGAGGTGTTCAGCCACCCTTTTCGCTGGGTCACTGTGAGGCACCTCACCACTTGATGACAATTCCACAGAAGCAAAACATTTTTGGTCTCTAACCCTTGCAGCCTGGCCTTCCCCACCTCACCCCCAATTCTACAAGCAGTCCCCAGATCAGGTAAGATGGCATATTCCTTAATTACTTTTTCATCTACCAAGTACACTGCGAACATTTTCTGCGCTCTTGAAAATAAAGAGGGTGGGTTATTAAAATGGGGGGGGGGAACCATTCAAACAAGACCGCGATCCAAGAATAACTCTACAGCAAAGGTGACAATGTGCAAAGTCAACATTTTCGCTGCATACCAGTACCTTCCAAGGTGTTGGTCCCGGAGAGCGCTTGTTTGGTCAGGCCAGGGTGCTGGAGTGAGCAGCGGTTGCTGTTTCTCTTTACTTCATTTGAATCGAAAACACGTTTTGCCCATTCTTGAAGCCCTGCCCTTTTTATTACGCTCTGCACCGCCCCAATGTGAGGCTCACCTCTCGCCGGGGGAAGAGAGAAAGCCACACACACATGTCACGGCTCGGACTGGCAGCGCTCCTGGTGCCTCGAGGGGCGAAGTGAAGACAAACCGGTTTATTCTGCCAAAGCGGCTGGAGCGCGTCACAGACGCCCTGGGCGAGCGGGGGCGGGAGGCTGGGGCCGGGGCCGGGGCCGAGGTGAGACTTACATGGTGGCCTCAGCGCGCCGCGGGCCCCGGGGGGCGCAAGCTCATCCTCCGGCCGTGCCCGCTCCGCGCTCACGCTCGCCGCGGGGCCCGCGCCCGGCTGACCCTCGGTGCCGCCCTCCCCGGGAGCTCTCGGGCTTTCCCGGCAGCCGCTCCCGCCCGCGCTCGGGGCGGCGCCAGGTGGACCCCGGGCGCCACGGAGTCCGAGCGCGGCTCCCGAGCTCCGGGCTCCCCGCGGCGAGTTGGAAGAAAGTTGGGGCGAGCGGCGCTGGGCGGAGGGGTGCCGCTCGCAGGTCCGCTTCCTCGCAGACGACTCCCGGCCCGCGCTTCCCTGCCGCGGCGTGGCCCGAGGAGCTGGGGCTCAGGTGCGGCGGCCGCGGGCGGCCCGGTCCCCGCTGTGCGCGGCACGCGCTGTCCCCAAAGCGCGGCTGCCCCGCCCGGGTCGCCACCCGAGGAGAGAAAGGGAGAAGTGGCCCCGCGGGGCGGGACGGGCGCGCCTGGCTCTGGCAGAGGGGAGAGCGGCGGGGGCGGCGGGGGCGGGAGGTTGGCGCGGGGCTGGGCGCAGCTCCCAGGCGGGGAGGGCACAGGGCAGAGCCAGAGGTCACCCGAAAGCCGCCACGCTGAACCCAGGCCGGAGAAAAAAAGACGCTCGCAGCGCGGGCGCTCACGGGGCATCTGCGTCTCCGGCCCGCGGCTGTGCGCCCCCGGCCGCCCGAGTCCCTGCGCGGCCCCTCCGCCCAGCTCCGGGCCCTTGCTTTACTTTTCTGTCCTGATCTCTTAGCTTTGCTCTTTCCTCTTTCTTTTTCTCTCCCGCGGCCTCTTGCCTTTTCCTCTCTCTCTCTCACGCTTTCGTATAAAAATGAGGGGATATTAACAAGGGGCCGACAAGATACTCACACAGCATCTTTAGTAGGGTTGGTTTGCCAGTGCAAATCCAGCTATTCACTGCAGCAAGTCCCCTGCTGGCTCTGCGTGGCTGCTGACAAAGGGACATGGACACACCTCCCTGGTCGCTGGCAGAAGGGTCCCTTCCCACTGTGTATTGTCAGAGTTGATTCACAAAATGCGTGAGGCGAAGCTTTGAATGTCGGAGCGGTACACGCATCCAGAGCAGGAACAACTCAACTCGGCTTATGTTGTGAACATGCACGGGCCGTACACAGGAGCCCAGGAAAAATGATTTCACTGGCCACTGTCGAAGAAGAGGTAGAGTGAGACTAGTTCAGACAGCTACAGGTAGAAAGGAAGCTGCTATGCGGCCAGCAAATCCAGAGGCCTGATGCTCCAGGGTGCATTCTACTTGTGACTTATATCAGCATTTATTTTAATGAATAAATATCAGGATTAATCGAGACACTGAATTACCACATTTAAGGGAAGTAGCATGGGTTGGGAAATGAGACCCAGAGGTGCAAAGTTTGCACAAACTACTTAGAAGCAATCTGGTGTTCGGACCCAGGTTCCCGAGGACCAGTTCAGGTGCGGCTTATGCCAACGAAAGTTACTAGGTTCCACTCATAGAACTGATTTAAACAACCTTACTTCACAGTTCTGTGATTAGGAATCTGGATGCAACTTAAAGTCCCTCATAAGACTATCAAAATAGCAGTTTATGGCTGTGGTCTCATCTGAAGGCTCGGGTGCTTCCTAGTCCTTAGGTAGTTGTTCCCCTGGATATTTTAAGGCTAAAAGGAACCAGGAGCCTAAAGGCAACAGGAGGAATATAGGTTTATAGAGACATTTATATGAAGGCATTGGTAGCCTCAGTTTTGGAGGTGTGTCCGAAAGCTATAAAGAGTTATGTAGGAAAAAAAAATAAAAATAAAAAATAAGAAATAGTTGTGTAGGACAGGGAAGGCTGTCTGCAGTCAGAATTCCTTTCTCGCGGGAGCAGACTATATTCTGTTAGGCCTTCATGTGACCACTATGAGGCTCATCCACATAGTGAAAGATAATCTATGTGATTCAAGGTCTACTGATTTGTAAAATAGTTATTAAGATTATTTTAAATTTACTTTTTATTTTTAATTGACAAATTATATATGTTTATGAGTTACAATGTAATATTTTGATGTGTGTATACAATGTGGAATAATGAAATCAAACTAAATAATGTACAGTACATAATGATTACTTTTATAGTGAGGAGTTGGTACATGTATACAACAATACATCTTATTTCTTTTTCTTCATCCCTACCCCTCCCTTTCCTCCCTGTTCCTTCCAACTCCTAATTCCCTTCCCATTTCCAAAAGCTCTATTTTCAACTTTCCCCTTCAGTAATTTTATTTTCTATCCCCTTTCTCTTCCCTTCCTTCCCCTCCCTCTATCTTACGTTCCCATCTATTTGAAAAAGATTTCCCTACTTCCTATTTATCTATCCTCTATTTTTCCATATAAATACATATATATATTTAAATTTATCCTTCAAGAGAACCATCCAATATTTAAGCTTGTGTGTCTTATTTCACTTAACGTTATGTAGTCACCATGTTGTACAAATGATCTCAAAAATGTATTCCTTGCATCTAATTGGTACCCTTTTGACCAAAATCTCCCAATTCCACCAGACCCCCAACCTATGGTAACCACCATTCTAGGAGCTTGTTTTATATTCCACACATAAGTAAGATCATGAGGTGTTTTTTGTTTGTTTTTTTATTTTGTTCCTTAATAGATGGGAGGATAAAGAAGATGTAGCAGTATATATACACACAAGGGAATGCTATTTAGCTTTACAGAAGAAGAAAATTATAGGGGTATGAGTGTCTGTGTGTGTGTGGTATTGGGGATTAAACTCAAGGCCTTCACACTGAGCTACATCTCCAGCCCTTTTTAAAAATTTTATGTTGAGACAAGTTCACACTAAGTTACTAAATTGCCCAGGCTGGACTTAAACTGTGATGCTCTCAGACTGCTGGAATTATGTACAGCTGTGCATCACCAGATGGGACAGAAATTGTGTCACTTTCACAAGACAGATGCATCTGGAGGACATCATGCAAAACTGCCCAATTTCAATGTTAATCTCATCCCAAGATACCATCACAGAAATAGCTATAATGTCTGACCAAACATCTGAGCACCAGGGCTGAGCCAAATTAAGGAGTGCAATTAACTACCACATTAACCAAAGCAAATTCACATTCCTCTAGAAGGTAGGATATATTAACATACCATAAATTATGTGTTGTAATTTATGCATCGATGTTTCTATATAACCATACGAACCACCATTAAAAATACGTCAATGCACCTGTGCCTGTCATTAGCATATTAGTAACAATGGTATATTTTGACAGTTCTGTCCTCGAACTAAGATTTGTTCATTATCTTTGAAAGAGCATGTTAGAGAAATGGAGTATATGTTAGAAAGTACACGGCCTTTTAATGCAACAGAACTGAGTTCAAAATATGCCCTGTAATTCACAGGAGCTGTGAACTCTAGCAGTTTGTTATGTGTATTTAAGCCTGATCTGCATAATAAGAACAATACTTCTTATAATAGGTAATTTTAACAAGGATTTTGGACAGACTCCGTGAGCTAAGGACATAGAACACTGAGTATATTTCCTGGAATTTGGTTCTGTCAGCTGCCACATATCATATCATCCTAAAACTGAAAGTGCCAGGACCACATTCCTCCGCATGCCGGAATCTCCTGGCCACATTCCAGACAAAATGAACATTGGGCATCTGTTTGAATTCCTTGACATTGATGAACACTCAGCTATGAGAAACTTCCGCTTTCTGAGGATTAAATCAAACATTCATGCCTTCAACATACCAATTAAGAACAAGGACATTCTATCACCCACAATAAGTCTTTCAGATATCTGAAGACAGCCATCATCTTCCCCCTCAGTCTTCCTTTATTCAGTGTTCACAGTGCTGGTGATTTTAACTGTTCAGTGTCTGGCTTCTTACTGCACATCTGATTGCCCTGCCCAAACTAGGCGTGAGTCAACACCAGCCCTCTTCACAAGATACTCATGGTGGATTCCACACCTCCACCTTCAAAACTGAATTGGGTAGTACTGTTGTACAAATAAAAGTTAGTGTTGATTTATTGAGCAGCCACGTAAAATATGTATAGCCAGAGTAGACATAGTTATAATAAGTTGGTTTGCTACTATGTGCCAGAGAGCACATAAATTTTATTCCACAAATCAAGTTGTTCAAGAAATATGTACTTCAACACAGTTGAAAATGTTGTTTTAATCTCCTATTCGTCTTTATTCAATCCAAGTCCTCCCCTCTCATTATGTTTTTTTGTTTTCTGCAGCAGAGAGGACAGAAGAACACTGGTATTTAACTTTCCTGTGTCACTCAGGATTAAACGTGCCAGTCCCTGGTCACTGATCCATACAGGATCTGGTTGACGAGTCTTCCAGGCTTTCTCTTCTCCCCAGTGGCACATCACAGTCTTCTTCAGCCTTGTCCCTCCGAGCAGCCCTTCTCACTGGGTCTCTTATGTGACAGACAGGGTACGGAGCCCCTCAAGCCATTCATTGCTCTCATGTCTCTCTGCTTTCTACTGAACAAGGGAGATAGCTTTTCTTTCTCTGCTATACTTTAATTTTGTATGTCCTTCAGCTCCCCTCAGTTGCTTTAGTGCT